AACTATTCCCTTTTCATTGGATGGTGAAATTGTTGCAGATATTAGGCTTTATCAATAATTCTGTGATGAACATTTTCGTGAAGAAAGTCTTTTCTATGTTTAGGGTTATTTCCTAGGATTAATGCCAGTAGTGGTATTATGGAAACATACACACACATTTAGGATTCTTGATATAGTAATAGCAATTTTAAAAAGTTTTTTTCAGTCATACCAATTTATAATCTGACTAGTAGTATGAGTTTGCTTAAGGAATGCTTGCTTATCAGGAGCCCATGGTCTGCTAGGCATTTTGTGCTTTAATTTAATCCTATGACAATCCTTTGAGGTACTTAAACTGTCCCTATTTATAGGAAAGGAAGTGAGGCTCAAAGAGGCTAAAGTAACTGGCTCCTGGCTATAAGCTAAGACATGGGGAAGTTAGAATACAAATCTAGATCTTTATGATTCACAGCCCCTAAAAGCACTATATATGCTTGAGTTTTGATTCAGGTTATCCCTGTGCTACTCAAGTACTTAACATTTAATTTATTGAGGATGTTAGCCAGTAGAAAAAAATGGAGATAATTGTTAGAAAGCACTCTCTTTTTTTCTCTAAATGTACGGTAATGAAGATGCACTCTCAGAAAGCTATCTTTTGATCAAGAAACCATGGAAAATTATTTTTATTTGAAAACAGCAGTATTCTAGAAATGCATTTATTCTCCACCTTGGCTGCAAAATCATAAGAAAATTTAAGAAACTTAGAAGTTAGTCTTCCATTTCCTTTCCCTCTCACGATCATCACCATGTTCAGTTATTTTTATCTCTAATTTCTAAAATACAGTTTGCTTTTTATTCATACAGTCTTATTGATTTAGGTCTTTTTCATCTCTTTCCTGGACTGTCATTGCCTTGTAATTGGTCTTCCTGCTTCAGTTTCTTCCCTCTATAATTTATCTTCCAACCTGATCCCAAAATTAATTCTTCCTTTTAAAAATTTTAATTATGAAAGTAATATGTGAGTACATATTTTAATGGAAAAAAAGAAGGAATATTTACTGTTAAGCCTAAAAAGTATTACCCCTTGCCAACTGATGGTCATTGGTGTCAGTTCAACACCCAACAGGAATCCCAAATTTAGAGGTGCAGTGAAGAAGGAAACTTCACTTAGTGTGGAACAGCTTTTCACTTTGGTGTTTCAGTTCAGCCAGCGAGAGCGGTCCACTGTAGAAAAGGAAATTGCACTCTCCTAGGTTGGGGGGGGCGGGATTACATGGACAGCAGTCCCTGCCCCTGGCTCCTGATTGGTTCATCTTCATGCAAAGGAGGACTCCAAATCCTCACAGTTTGATTGGTCCAAAGGGCACTGTCCTGATTGGTTTTAAGAGAGCCTCTCTGATTGGCCAGAGCTGCACAACTCTGATGGGATGGGGAAAGCCTCAGTCCTATTGGTTAAAGTAGGATTCCAGGAACTCCTTTATAAGGCTGGGCTCAGATGGCAGAAACATACTGCAGGCCGGCAGTTCAGTGCAGGGTTCTCCGTGAAGTGCAGTTTGTGTGCAGAAATGGTTGCTAGGCTGGTTTGGTTTTGCTTGTTTTTAATTTGAGTTCAGTTAGCCACCAGGATCCCTTTTTTAGTAGGTGTCTTTTTTACTCCCCTCACTTCACATCCTCCTGTCTCAGTCCTCCTCCTGTCCCCCAACCGCCCTCTTCCCTAATAATCTGCAACTTGCTCTTTCCCATATAATATATCTTGGAGGTTTTTTTACATTAGGCTATTAGATATACCTCATTTTTTAAAAGTCTCTTATGTTACTCCATAGTATGATTAAAGTCTCTTTAGCCTTTCACCTAATTATAAAAAGTACTTTGTAATTTCTATTTTGATTTCCTATTTAAACAATACTGGGAAGTTTTTCCCCCCAGATGGCAGTATATGTCTATAACATATTTTACCATGTTTTTCTCCCCTCCCTTAAAACTATTGGTGGCTTGCCCTGGCCGATGTGGCTCAGAGGTTAGATCGCCGGTCGGACGACCGAGGGGGTCACTGGTTCCTGGGTTGCAAGTTAGATCCCTGGCCCCAGTTGGGGTGTGTGGGTCAGGGGCGTCCTGGAGGCAACCAGTCAATGTCCATATTTCCCTTCCTCCCTTCTACTCTCTCTAAAAAGCAATAGAAAAATATCCTCAGGTGGGGACTGACCAAAACAAAATCCATGAGTGGCTCTTCCAGGGCCTGTAGCAAGCAACATAAACTCGTGTGTTTTCAGGCACCAGGCTTGTGAGGCACAGCTGGGTGACAGACCAAAGACTGTAAGGGGGATTGACAACTGGAGAGTATAGACACTGTCTAAAGATGCACATTAAAAATAAATCAACAAAAGAAAACACTCTGCTGGCTGAACAAGAGACCTTTGCCACCAGTTTTAATTTAATATCTTTTTAACATGCCAATCAAAGCCTTTACAGCTTGTTTAGTACTCTCTTCCTCCTCCTAGAGCACTCAGTCTGCCTTTATGTTTCTCTGCCTTTGCACCTGCTGGAAAGTCTTTCTTTACCTTCTCTGCCAGAATAATGCAGCTTGTCCTTTAAGACCCAGCTTGTATACTACTACTTCCTCTGAAACTTTTCTAGTTTCCCAAGGCAGGTGCCTTTCTCTAGCCTAACAGCATATTCAAATCTTTATTATTGCCCTCATTACATAGCTCTGTAAAAATGTCTGTACCTCTCTGTTGACTCATCTAGGTTGTGAGTCCCTCCTGCCAAGTGCTACCTTATTCACCTTGATATTCTTGGTGCTGCACAAACATATAGAAGAGGCATTCTGTTTTTGTTGAGTGGGTGAATAAAATAATTTTATTAATTGTAGTACGAATGGCCTTAGGGAGAACTAGAATCCAAACTGATGATAACATGATTACATAATAAACGTGAAGGCCTATATTATTCTGATTATTGCCATCTGATTTTATCAAACTTAGGGTAACTTATTGACTTTTAAAGAATTTATTTGAGCCCTGGCTGGTGTGGCTCAGTTGGTTGGAGCATTGTCCCATGCACCAAGAGGTGGCAGGTTTGATTCCCTGTCAGGGCACATACCCAGGTTGTGGGTTAGATTCCTGGTTGGGATGTGTGTGGGAGGCAACCAATAGATGTTTCTCTTTTATATCAATGTTTCTCTCTCTCCCTTCCACTCTCTAAAATGAATTTTTTTAAAAGTTAACAAAAGAAAAGGAATTTACTTGAGTTTAATGTCACTAAAATGGATGTAAATCACATAGACCAGGGAAGGAATTTTGAAATGAAAGCAAGAGTTTTACCACTAACTCTCCTTAACTAATGAAATATTTTGTATCTTGTCCATGGGTTTTAGCTGTAGCATGAAGTGCTATTTGCTACTTCTCTAATAGAAAAAAATTTTAAGACTTAAAAAAAATTTTTTAATTGACTTTGGGGGGGGGAGATCGACTGCCTCCTGCACACCCCCTACCCAGGATCGTCGAGCCCCCACAACCCAGGCATGTGGCCTGACCAGGAATCAAATTGGCAACCTTTCGGTGCATGGGGACAAACACCTAATCAGTTGACTGAGCTGGAGCTTAAGGCTTTTTAAAACCAGCCAGGATTTAAGACTTTAAAAAAATCAGTTTAAACTGTTTTAGTCCTGTTCTGTTCAGATTATCAACTTGCCTTGACCATCTCTGACTCAATTCAACCACTACCATTGATTTTTGTTAGTTTATAACCCTTCTTCCTGTCCTGGGGTCTGGCCACTGCCATTTTACCAGTTTGTGTTCTCTGTGCTTTGCTCTGAAATGATTCTTTACCTTACATGTTCTAACTCTTTTCATTACTCTAGTTGGACGTGAGGCACAGTTCTAGGGCCAGAAGTAAGCCTTATTGTTGGGAGAACATGTTTACATATATCCACATTCCATATTGCTCTCAAATTCGTATTGTTAGCCTGGAGCTGTTGTTTGATCCCAGAGCAAACAGTACTGTGGTTGTTGTCAAGTTAAACACTTTATTCCATATCCTTTGCCCAGGCAGGTTAAGAGATAATTACCCTTAAATTAGGTGAAATCTGGCTTTCAAATATTTCAGCTTTTCCCTGATGTTTTCAGATAGGTGATGGTAGGATTCCTGAATATTAATTTTTTTCATGTTTAAGTTCTTATGTACAAAGAATAAAAATTGTGACAGTTTTAGTACAATGACTTCTTTTAGTGTTGTTCTTATATTTGTGTATTGATATGATTTAGAATTTTGTGACTCATATGTTGACTTTTAAAGTGGTTGGCAGATTGGAACTGTAGCATGGCACCTAGCTGTTCAGTCACCATGGAGCCTCAGCCTCTGGTTTTCTAAGTGATACTCAGTAGAGTACTGTCAATCTGGGTCAGATTCAGCCTGGGCATTGAACACTCCATGTTTCTTTTCATGGCTTGCAAGGCATCTGCCTTTAGCTATTACCTCTGACATCAGTTATGTAATGGCAGTACTGTTTCCTAGTCTCTGATTCAAAATCCAAGTAATTTTTAAAATTTCCCTTTTCCTTATATCCAGACTTATCAGGTTTTATGATAGGACTCTTGGATTCTCAGGAGCAGGAGACTGCTCCCACTCTAGGTCATGCATGTTAAGAACACTCCCTAGGGGGTGCGGGGGCAGGTGGAAAAGCGTAAAAAGGGAATAAATGGTGACAGAAGGATACCAGACTATGGATGGTGAACACACAATACAATATACAGATGATGTATTATAGACTTGTACACTTGAAACCTATTTAACTAATGTAACCCCAATATAGTCAATAAAAAATTTATGAAAAGAAAAAACCCCACTCCCTATTTCCCCTCCCCTCTAATCCATCTACACTCCCTGCTAGCTAGCTGAGTTTTCCTATAACCAACTGCTCTGTTCATATCTTGACCTCAATTTGAACTTTTAATGGCAGTTGCATATGTACACACTCACACACACACGTCCCATTGGCAGCTGGATGAAGCTCAGTGTTCTTTCCCATTGACTCAGTCTTTTTGGCCTCAGCTCCCTCCCCTTCCCCACAGTATGTGGTAGCTCCTGGCCTCCTAGAACTTGCTGGGACTTTTTTTGTCCCTCCGCAGCATCAGTCCCTCTGCACACCTGAAGTGATCTCTCCTGCCTCTGAAATTCCTCCACACTTTATTTGACTTTATTTCTGTTTATCTTATGGCATATTATAGTCCAAATACTGCTTTGCCATTCACCAAATTGCTTTTGAATCCATTTATTTAATTCTCACAATCAGTCTATGAGGTAAGACAGGTGTGCCTTATCACAAGGGAGGAAACCAAGACTTAAAGAAGGAAGAATGAATTGTCCAAGTTTTGTAATTAATATAGCGTGGAGTCAAGATTCAAATCCAAGCCTCCTGGATTATAAGCCCCAAGCTTTGTTCATTGTGCTACTATGGGACTGCCTTTCTTGGTGCCTGAGTCTGCACTTAAACACCACTCTTCTAGTTGCCTGCCAGTTACTTAAGTTGTGTTTTATTCTCTTAGAACATATAATGTATGTATTATATTAAATATATTCATATATTAAATACAGTGCAGTTCAGTGTTCTCTTTCTCTGAAAAAATCATGCTTCTTTCTGAGCCTTGTTTCCCCATCTTTTTTATTTTTTTAAGTAGAAGTGAAGCTTACTTAGTATATTATAAATAATAAAACTAGAGCTTTATATAATGAATTTAATTTCTGGGATAACTTTTTAGCAGTGCACTTCACAAGTATTTATTTCCTGTGACGAAATTAAGCCTTGCTAGGCTACTGAGCAATGAATGGTTCCACACTTTTAAAATATAAATATCCTGAATTTCCATATAGCTGTAACTAATTTTTATGTTGACTGGATGAGAACATATATACCAACAAGAGCTATTATGAACTCAGTAACAATTTTAATGGATTTGAATTTTATTCATTATATAATCATATGTGGAAAATAATATTACATACATGTACAAGAGCTCTAGTGGTCAGTCTGTAGGAAATGCTTTGTGCCCTTAGTACCTACAGATCTCCTGGTAATTCCGTGGTTCCCAGTTGGGAGTCGCTGCTGTGGGGATTCTGACGTTGTTCTACATCACTCATTGTTGCCTTAGGAAACTCCATGTGAGAAATTTCTTAAGAGAGCCAAGTGGTTGGGAAGGGGTTGCTTCCCTGAGTAATTGCTTTATGTTTCCCTTTTAGACAGTGAGAACTGCAGCTGACCTCTCTGTTTTCAGATTGGCCTTTAAAAAGAAAGTTCAGAGCCAAATTTATTATTTGATTATATAACTGTAGAGATCCTTATTGCCTGCTTAAGTTTTCCCTTTTTACACTTTGGCAGTTGACTTCCTGATGTAATTTGCTTGGCCCTGATTTTTAAAATTTGTTTTATCATTTTATTGCATGTGTTTCCCAAAAGCCAACTGAAATTCTTTGAAAATTAAGTGGAATATAAATAAATACTTTAGCCCTTCTTTTGTTACCAGGTATATTTTAGGCACTGGACTTATCTATTCTAAATATTGATGTCTATATGCATATGTACTATTGCTTATAAATAGCATAAATATATGCTATTTATTCTGTATTTGTTGAACATTCTCTTAAGTCAGAATTTATATGGAAAAGCCAAACCTAAGCATACTATTTATTAAAAAAATGTGGTTTCATGTAAAAAAAAGCACACAAACTTACAATGCCTACTTAAGTGTATCTCAAAAAGTGGAATGTCTCTTCTGGGAGGAAGCAAAGCATCATTGTGACAGCAGCATGCCTCTGCTGGCAGAGGTACTTTATTTTATTTTTACTTGTTTTAAATAGATCTTTATTGATTTCAGAGAGAGGAAAGGAGAGGGGTAGAGAGAGATAGAAACATCAGTGATGAGAGAGTTATTGATTGACTGCCTCCTGCACGCCCCCGACTGGGGATCGAGCCCGCAACCTGGCATGTGCACTCACTGGAGATCGAACTGTGATCTCCTGGATCCTAGGCCGATGCTCAAGTGCTGAGCCATGCCCTGCTGGGCTGGCAGTGGTACTTTAAAAATCCAGAACTAGGAGGGCAACTTTTTTCTGTGTTTATCCTTTTCAATTTTGTATCATGTGCATATATCACCGTTCAAAAAATTAATAAAAGAAGTTCACGGTCATTGTCAGTAGAAGTGTAAAAGATTTCTTCCTAACTTTTAGACTCTGAGTTCCTTGAGACCAGGAAATGTGCTAGATTTCTCTTTGTATTCCTGAACCTATGGCAGTGCCTTATACATAGTAAGCCCCCAGCTAGTGTGCATAGATGTGAATTGGAAATTTAAGAGTTACAAATTTCAGTAGGATCATAGCTTAAAATTACTAACTGTGGATAACGCATGCCTCCTTCATTTTTGTCCCCGCTTTCAGAGTGAGACTGAGACTAGCTATCTGGCTCTGAAGTAAGATTGGTTTTTATTGAAATCCATGAAAAGAACTTAAAAACAGTTAGTAGAATTTTTCATAGTTCTTGAAAATGGGATTTATGTTTGTTTATATATAATAGTGTGGGATTTTTCCAAGTGTGACCTCCAAACTGCTTTTTATCTCTTTTTGCAGATCTTTGTAGAATTCGATGGCTGTAACTGGAAGCAACACTCCTGGGTTAAAGTTCATGCTGAAGAAGTTATTGTGCTTCTGCTGGAAGGCTCTCTAGTATGGGCACCCCGAAAGGACCCTGTCCTTGTCCAGGGCACTCGAGTCTCAATTGCACAGTGGCCAGCCCTGGTGAGTGACTCTATTGACTAGGAATATATTTGGACTTTATTCTATACTGTGAACTATGGTTGAACTCTTCTTAAAAAAAATCCTTACCTGAGGATATTTTTTCCATTGGTTTTCAGAAAGAGTGGAAGGGGGGGCAGGGAGAGAGGAAAAAAAAAATTTATGTGAGAGAGACACATGGATTGGTTGCCTCCGCCCTCATGTGGCCCTGCAACTGAGGTATGTGCCTTTGGGTGGAATCGAACCTAGGACCCTTCAGTCCATGGACCAACTCTAACCACTGAGCAAACCCGGCTAGGGCTAGTTAAACTCTTTAGAATTGCCCAAACACCAGGCTTTTAACACACTTTTATTCTGAAGTTACCAAAGCAAAAATTGGGAGAGATCTTTTCTCCTGTGTCTTCTGAAACTTTTTATATTAGATAATACTTGATACTTTTTGTTTCTAAAAAATTTTTCATCTTTAGTGTTTTCTCATAGTAAGGCTATGAAACAATGTTTATAATCCTTAAAGTATTCTTTTCCCATAGAAACTATTTTATGTTTTTCCAGCTTTGTTGAAATCTGATTAACATATAACATTGTATTGTCCTGGCCAGTGTTGCTCAGTGGTAGATCATCTGCCCTCGCACCAAAGGGTCATGGGTTCGATTTCCAGTCAAGGGCACGTACCTGAGTTGCAGGTTGATCCCAGACCCCGGTTGTGGTGAGTGCGGGAGGCAACCAGTTGATGTGTCTCTCTCACATGGATATTTCTCTTTCTCTCCCCCTCCCTTCTACTCTCTAAAAACCAATGGGGAAAAAATATCCTCAGGTGGGGATTAAAAAAACCCCCACTGTATTAAGTTTGTGTATAACATGATTTGATATACATATATATTCTGAAAAGATTACCACAATATTAGTTAACATGGCCATTGACTCACATTGTTACCTTTGTGTGTGTGTGTGCTGAGAACTTTTAAGATTTATTCTCTTTGTAACTCTAAAGTATACAATACAGTATTGTTAATTATAGTCACCATTCTTACATTAGATTCCCAGAACTGACTCATCTTATAACTGAAGTTTATACCCTTTGATCACCTTTACCCATTTCTTCCACTCCTCCCACATGTAGCAACCACCAGTCTACTTTCTGTATCTATGAGTTCAATTTTTTTAGATTTCATGTAAGTGAGATCGTACAGTGTTTGTCTTTCTCTCTCTTATTTCACTGAGCATAATACCCTCAAGTTTCATCCATATTGTTGCAAATGGCAGGATTTTTTTCTTATTTATGGCTGAATAACACACCCACACACATTCTCTTTATCCATTCATCCCGTCACTGGACACTTAGGTTGTTCCTGTGTTTTGGCTATTGTAATAATGCTGTAGTGAACATGGGGGTACAGATATCTTTTTGAGATACTAATTTAATTTCCTTCAGATGTATACACAGAAGAAGGATTGCTGGATCATATGGTAGTTCTATGTTTAAATTTTTGGGGGAACCTCTATACTGTTTTCCATAGTAGCTGTACCAGTTTACGTTCCCACCAGCAGTGCACAAGGGATCCCTTTTCTTTGCATCCTCGCCAGGACTTGTTATCTTTTATCTTGATGATAGCCATTCTGACGGTCTTGAGGTGATCTCATTATGCATTGATTTGCATTTCCCTAATGATTAGTGATGTTGAGTCCCTTTCATGTACCTGTTGGCCATTTGTATATCTTTGGGAAAATATCTATTTGGGTGATTTGCTGAATTTTGAATCAGATTATTTGTTTTTTTTTCTATTGAGTTGTGTATGAGTTTCTTATATATTTTCAATATTAACCCCTTATCAGATATATGATTACAAATATTTTCTATTTTTTATATTTTTTTAGAGAGAGTGAAGGGGGGAGGGGAGAGAAAGAGACATTGATATGAGAGAGACACAACAACTGGTTGCCTCCTGCACATGCCCCAACCTGGGCTGGGGATCGAACCTGCAACCCAGGTATGTGCCCTTGACCAGGAATCAAACCTGTGAGACCCTTCAGTGCTTGGGCCAACGCTCTAACCGTTGAGCCACATTGGCCAGGACATCTCCCGTTTCTTATGTTGCCTTTTCATTTTGTTGATTATTTCTTGTGCTATGCAGAAGATTTTTTATAATTTGGTATATTCCCACTTGTTTACTTTTACTTTTGTTGCTTGTGCTTAAAGTTTTTTTAAAATTATTAAGTTTTGGTTTTTTAAGTCAGACAAAATAGTGCTATAAAAAATAATTCTGAGAGTATCCATTTGTTTGTATCTATCCTTGTTGACAAAGTATTGGCATAAATGGTTACTTTTTTTTAAAATCTAAAAAAAATAAATCTAAATTCTGTGGCTAACCAAATTAAATAAATAATATTCAGAACAAATATTTTTTACCTGTTGATTATATAACATGATCACTTGCTACACTGTCTTTTTTCATTTGTTTTTAAGACCACTTTCCAATTGAATTTTTAAAAGAAGTTCAGACCAGATACAGGTCCCTGGGTGACTTTGTTGGCTATTTATTTATGAAACAGTAATGAATTTACTCATGCATATTTATACCAGTGATTATTTTAGAAATCTCACAAAGATTTCAGGAGTTCTAGAGATGATAATGGCGTAACTTTTTTTTTATGCAGATTTTTTTAATTTTTTTTTTTTTTAATTGATTTCAGAGAGAGGAAGGGAGAGAGAGACAGAAACATCATTGATGAGAGAGAATCATCAATTGCCTGCCTCCTGCACACCTCGTACTGGGGATCAAGCCCGAAACCTGGGCTTGTGCCCTGACCCAGAATTGAACCACGATATCCAGGTTCACTGGTTGACATTCAACCACTGAGCAACACTGGCTGGGCTGGTGTAACTCTTTATTGTGGGAATTTAATGTTAAGTTAGCCCTCGTGAAGCCAGGCTTCAGGATTAGTCAGATCCCTGGAGAAAAAGAGAAATTTCTCATTCTTCCCCCTTTAGCTGTAAATATACACGCACATGCGGACTTTCTGCTCTGGTTTGCTTTCTGTGATTATTTGAGGGGCAGATGTTAGGTCCAGAATGTTTCCAAAGACTTATGCTTTAGCTTATCTGTATTTACTAGTGTGAAAGATCTATTAATAATGGATATTTTCTCTGAAGTTAGAGATTTGGTTGAATTGTTATTTTCTTTTCCAAGTTCTAATCAATTTCTTATTGTACTTCACAGACTTTCACTCCCCTGGTAGATAAACTCGGTTTGGGTTCTGTGGTTCCAGTTGAATACCTTGTGGATCGAGAGCTTCGTTTCCTGTCAGATACTAATGGGTTGCATCTGTTCCAGGTACGTAACGCTTGCTCTAATCCTAAACTTATTTCTCTCCTTGTTAATTTCTTGTTGGTTATAAATAAGGTGTTTCCATTTTTCTTTTAGCATTAAAGTACTTCCCCCCAATAGTTCCCTGTGCCTTTTACAGTTTTTCTGCTTCCTTGAAAAATACATTTGATAGCTGAGGCTTCTTTCTTCTGCACACCCCACCCCACCCTAAAAAACACTTTGCACTTAAGACCACAATTCTACAGGCTTCCTCAGAAGAAAGAGGTGGCTTCCCAGAGGTGGTTGCTTCTATAACTTGAGTCTGAGGAGGCCTACACTTGTGTCAGTGACAGGGCGACTGGGAGTTTGTGCTGATTCTGAGCAACATTAAATATTGAAGAGCTTAGGTATATTTTTAGTTGATAGTTTAAACAGACTAGAATCTGAGTTAGAGTTTCAGAATTTATGGATGCTAATATTTATTTCTCATTAGTAAGGGTTACTGTCTGAAGGTTAAAAATTAGGAGTCTTCTAGTTTTGCTATCTTACTGAGGCAGCTAAGAGAAGTATTTTCTAAACTCTGTTCTGTGATATGTTAATGATGATTTTTTGTTGATAGGTTTTTCTCCCTCATTAGGCCTCACTCTCTTTTATCAACCTTGCTTTATCACATCTTTGTAACCCTAGTACTTATATATGGGCAGGCACTTAGTGTATGTTGGATAAATATCAAAATAAGCAAAAAGATTTATATGCAATAAAATGTTTTGTGGTCAAATAAGTATGACAAATACTGACCTAAACAGATTTTTTTTCTATTTGTCTTCTTAGAGCCTTTCATATGCTGTTGTATGTAGAAAGATAGAGTATATAATGCTTCCTAAACCTAACTGATCTTAGCATCTTTATTTTTTGCAGACATCTCATAAGACTAGGGTTTTACAGACATTCTTTGACAAATGTTGATATAAAACTCCTCGGGGGTATGATTTTTCTCAGCTGGTTAGATATTATTGCTATTCATTGTAACATTCAGTTGTTTTCTTCTCTTATCTTTACCAGATGGGAACAGATAGCCAAAACCAGATTCTTTTGGAACACGCTGCACTGAGAGAAACAGTTAATGCTTTGATCAGTGACCAAAAGCTACAAGAGATATTTAGCCGAGGTAAGAACAGGTAGTCTTCTATCCCTGAATTCTGAATCAAGTGTATGGTCATTGCTGAAAGTGATAGAGTGGGGAGGACACTATGCAATTCTAAATATCTGAACTTGTCTTCTTTTTGTGGGTAAAGTCAAGAGTATCTCCAGTTAGGTGACTCTTTAGAATAGATTAGAAAAATAGGATCTTGCTCAGACTACTGTTTCCTCTTTGTATTAGGTTTCATAATACATAGTTTTGTTGTGAGTTTTGTTTTGTTGTTCTTTTCTTAAACATCATTAAGGACTGACCGTGTAGACAAAATGTTAAGGTACTGGTGATATAACTATGAGCTAGAAAATCTCTGCTCTTCTTGAGCTTACTGTCTATAAGGATCTCAAGAACTAAAGACTATTGACACCAACAGATAACAACTTAGAGTGCAAGATTAATTCATAAAGGAAGGTATCCTCAGACTCGTTCACATTAAAAACATGTTATTTTTTTAAGAATGAAAACAGGAAAGAATTATTAACCTTTTTTCATGTTCAGATACATTTTCCCCAAGATTCTCCACAAAGGGTAGACTTGCTCCATTTATCCTTCCCTTCTTTCTTTTTGAACCTCATCATGATCATGATTTTCAGTGAAGTATAGTGTCTTTGGTTTTCTTTTGTCAAACTAAATCTAAACAGGTAAAGGTAGGAATAGGTACACTGGCCTATTTAGGGAAAAAGAGTATCAGGATAAAATGATGTTTAATAATCAAGGAAAGGTATGGGGAAGAAAGAATGTGAGGAAAAATTGATAGCAGAGAGAAGAAAATTGAGTGGACAGAATGAGAGGTGGAGATGTTATATGAGTATGTATAGAAAAATAAAGGAAGCTTAATTATAGCTCTGAGAGATAATTTAAAATAAGTAATGATTTAGCTATATAGTCTCAAATGTATAAGATAAGCAGGAGAGAGGAACTGTCCTCCTTTGAGGGTTAGCTGAAATTGCAGGGTAATGTTACCAGTTGATAAAGTAATATCTTTGAAACTCTGTTCCTAGGAAGACATGTGCTATATTTGTTCAGACTATTATTAGTGTAGAGGTTGGAAACCTCATAAATTGAATTTTCTACCTACTGTTATTGAAAGTCAGGTAGCAGAGTGTAAATGGTTATGTATCATTCATATGCTTACTTAACAAAATAGTCCATTCAACTTACTGGCCTCCCACTTTTTTTTATATATGTGTCAGATCTGAGTACATTTTCATACTACCTATAATTTTTTCTTTCTTTTTTAATCCTCACCTGAGGATATTTTTTCCATTGGTTTTTTAGAGAGAGTGGAAGGGAGGGGGAGAGACAGAGAGAGAAACATCGATGTGAAAGGGACACATTGATTGGTTGCCTCCCACGTGTGCCCCGATGGGAGCCAGGGATCGAGCCTGCAACCAAGGTATGTGCCCTTGGCTGGGAATCCAACCCGAGACCCTTCAGTCCTCAGGCCAGCGCTCTTAACCCTGAGCCACACTGGCTAGGGCCTACCTGTAGTTTTTGAGTTATAAGTTTCCTTTCTCTTCCCTGTATTCTATAATGGGAAGATTGAGATAAGGTGAAATCAATGGCCTGGTAGGATCTAAGAAATTTCTAAATAAACTGAATTTACAAAGGTCACTGGGAAAACTATTTATATTGTGTGTTTTTTAATTACTAAGTATGATAAATCTGAAATTTCTCGTTTATTCAACTCTATAGGAGACTGAAAGTGCCAGTTATTTACACCATATAGCGTTCCTTCTGCATTTAGAAATAATTATGAAATATAGCTTAGCCAAAAATATTTGAAACTGACTGATCTCTCTTTTAGGTCCCTACAGTGTTCAAGGTCACAGGGTCAAAGTATACCAGCCCGAGGGGGAAGAAAGTTGGCTCTATGGTGTTGTAAGCCATCAAGATTCCATTACTCGTCTTATGGATGTTTCTATAACTGAGGTAAGGCTTTGTGTTAGGTGTTATTTCATCTAACAGGGAGGTGTAGAGAAAGGGTGCACTTCACAAGTAAGAAGATTTGGGTTCCATATCGGATTATATCGTTTAATGACTATGACCTTGAGAAGAAAGGCTTTTCAACTTTCTTAACCTCATTGTTCTCATATGTAAATTAGTTAATTAGGTATACCCCCCCCCCCC